TGGAGACATAAAGCGGCTTCTGCCTAACTGAATCTGAGGATTAAATGAGGGGTTGGGTTTTTTTAGATTGGAAGGGACATCTGACAACCTTCATACATGCCACTGCTGGCTTCCTAACCCAGGAAAACTGCAGTAGGGAAATCAACGCTTTGTTTTTTAACAATCCCGTCTTAAGGGAAGGCGCTATTTCACGGGGAAAACGGGTCTTTTCTCCTGCAGGAAAAACTCAGCTAGCTTGGATCCTCGGATAAAAGAGACAATGCAAATGACGGAGAGACTTGTATTCCATGCCCTTCTCCATTCCTGGGCTAGAAAAGAGATGTTAAGACCCTGGCTAAGGGGAATTCCTACTTTGCGGCAGAGAGAGGCTTTAGATGGCTTTTGACAGGATAACATGCCTCTGAAAATGGCTTCAGGTGTACTGCGGGGCTTTGACAGCCCTTCTACGTCTTCACTGCAAATTTTTCCAGGCTCCCATCAGGATAAAGCGATTTATATTGTTTTGATTCCTCCTTCCCCCTTTAACCAAAGTTGCTTGACCCAAGTGCTGTCAGGTCAGAGCTGTTGGGGGGAGAGAGGGCAGGCAGAAGGTCCCGTGAGGCCGAATTTGTACACTCTTGATTTCACTAAGTAGAGACCTGCAGGACTTGAAGGTAGCCTGATGGTAAATGAAGGATGAAGGATCTTCTCCCAGGTGTATCTTCAGATTTCTGGAGGAATTGAGTATTGGCCTGATGTGTAAATCAGCCCCTGCAGGAGTGTCCATTCTGTAAGTTGGTCTAGACCAGGGGTAGGCAACCTTGGCTCTTTTATGACTGATGGACTTCAACTCCCAGAATTCCTGAGCCAGCTGTGCTGAGGGGAAAGGCAGAGTTTTCCAAGCTGAGCCATGCTGGTTCAGGAATTCTGGGAGTTGAAGTCCGCAAGTCATAAAAGAGCCAAGGTTGCCTACTCCTGATCTAGACCAGGGGATCCCAACCGGGGGTGCAAGACAATATTTCAGGGGTGCGAAAACTTGGGTTTAGAAGTTTCAAAATTATAGGGTATGTGTACAACCAAGTATTACTTTTGTAAGGGGTGCGAGAATACACCAGAAGCATTCTAGGGGTGTGGGGTATAGAAAAGGCTGGGAACTTCTGGTCTAGACTAAGAAACCAATGCTGTTTAGGTCAGGACTACTTTTGTTGTAAAGCTATAGTAAAGAACCTTGCAAGTCTGCAAATGATAGTACCGATTTACACTACGCTGGTGAGGCCATCCTTGGAATACTGTGTCCAGTTCTAGTCACCAAGGCACAGAAACGATGCTGAGACCCTAGAAAGAGTGCAGAGAAGAGCAGCAAAGATGATTAGATTGCTGGAGGCGAAAGCATATGAAGAACGGTTGTGGGAGCTAGGTATGAAAGAGAAAGATTGGGGGGACATGAGGGGCTGTCACAAAGAAGAAGGGATTGACTTAATCAGAATCGAGCTGGAAGGGACCTTGGAGGTCTTCTAGTCCAGCCCCCTGCTCAAGCAGGAGACCCTATACCATATCGGACAAGTGGTTGTCCAGTCTCTTCTTAAGCTTGGACTTATTCTCTAAAACACCACAGAGCAGGACAAGAAGTAACGGGTGGAAGATCATTAAAGAGAGAACCTACCTAGAAGTTAAGAAGAAATTTCCTGACAGTGAGAGCAATTAATCAATGTAACAGTTCGCCTCCTGAATTTGTGGGTGCTCCATCATTGGAGGTTTCAAAATAGACTGGACAGCCATTCGACTAGGTTGGTATAAGGTCTCATGCCTGGAGGAAGGGGTTGGACTAGAAGACCTCCAAAGTCCCTTCCAGCCCTGTGATTCTATGAATGTCTTCCCCCACTCAATAATAATAATAATAAAAATAATAATAAAAATAAAAACAAGCAGTTCCTAGTAAGGCCGCCTTTTGCAATTGACTGATGGCGAATTTGTCAATGCCCATGGTGTTCAAGTGGTGCTCCAGTTGTTTTGGGATTGCAGTAATAGGTGTCTAGGGTGCAACCCCAAAACAACTGGAGCACCACTTGAACACCATCATCGGCATTGACAAATTCGCCATCAGTCAATTGCAAAAGGCGGCCTTACTAGGAACTGCTTCCATCCTGCAACGATATCTGTAATACCATCAAACATCCACATCTGCCTATCCCAGGTCCTTGGGAAGGACTCGATAGGTAGACAAAAATGCCAAATCCGGTCTGAACATCTGGCTGACTGTGCGATGATCAATAATAATAATAGTTGGAAGGAAACCCTATACCATTTCGGACAAATGGCTGTCCAGTCTCTTCTTAAAAACTTCCAGTGTTGGAGCACCCACAACTTCTGGAGGCAGGTTGTTCCACTGGTTAATTGTTCTCACTGTCAGGAAATTTCTCCTTAGTTCTAGGTTGCTTCTCTCTTTGATTGGTTTCCATCTGTTGCTTCTTGTCCTGCCTTCAGGCGCCTTGGAGAATAGCTTGACTCCCTCTTCTTTGGGGCAGCCCCTGAGATATTGGACCATCTTAATATGAACTGAGAAGCTTGCTCGAATTACAGTTCTGTCCCAGACTCAAAATTTCTTTCATCTGACTGTTGTCTTGGTAGCACATTTTCCTTCTGTCCTTCAAACCCCTTCACTGTGCTGTCTACAAATTTTCTAAGGATTTTTTTTTGCTGAAACATTTCATTGTAAATTTTCTTCTGGGCTGCCAATCTGAATTAGAGGCTGATGGAGAATGGCTTCAGCCTCAGAAATAACACCAATTAGGTTTTGTTCTGTGCCTTCATGTGTTAAAACAGGGGTCCACAACTACCTGGACGAGGCCTGTTCGAAACTGGACCGTGGGAGAGATGGGCAAGTGTGTGCGAGTGGAGCTTCACACACAAACACAGGTGCCCTCTGCTCACGCGAATGGAGCTTCACGCATGAGGGTAAATGTCTGTTGCTCACACAAGTGCTTTGCACCTGAGCTCCATTAGTGCGAGTGGAGGGCGTGCATGCACGCCAATGGAACTGTGCGTGCATGCACCTCCACCTCCCCCAAGCTGGAAAGGTTGGGGGCCGCTGTGTAAAAAGACACACATTTCTTTGCTAGAGTACTAAGATTCCAATTATTGTTCCTTTTGCAGCCGAAGAAAAACACAGATTAACACCTAACCCAGTTCTTTGTCCTTATTAGTTTGCTAGTCTCACCTTTCCCATCGTGCGATAGCTCATAGGAGAGCCGTTTTAGCTCATTTGCACATTCAGGTCACCTTTTGCTCGTCCGAGTTCAGATCCCGATTTTCATGAAATTTCCCACGAGGTCTTCCAAAGTCCTGGGTTAAATACTGACCCCGAGAAAGGATCAGCAGTGCAGTTCTTCAGCAGCTGGGCAATCTTGAAGGGCTTCCGTGCTGCTTTTAATTGAGGTGTTTCTAATTTCACAGGGTGGGTGAGTAAAATGCCCTTCCAGGCCGGATCAGCTCAACAAACGATTACACGGAGACATTTGGGGGTTTATGTTATCAGCAGAACCATGGAGGTTTGCCTGCTTATTGCCTTCTGGTTTCTCCAACGTCCCAATCTAATCTTCAACCTCTGGCCCTGCTTAGCTTACACCTCTCACCCTGCCACAGTCGTTTACGTAGGTCACACCTAAGGATTGTAACAACTGCAACCCAAAGTCTGCAACCCAAAGTCGGTGCGAATTCTTTTTTAACTTTCTGCAAAAGCACAGCATTGCAGATTGGAAGGGGGGAGACTACTGTACGTTGCAAAGAAATACAATTAGACAGCAAGCGAGCCAGTGGTTTTTATACTAAAGATTGGACGACTGAGATCTCAAGCTATCCACCTGGAAAGTCCCAATTATATTAAAAAACTCCCCAAAACCGGATAGACGGAGTAGATTGGGCAAATTGCACGCCTGCGTTTCATTTAAATTTCATTTGGCATGAATTGCTTTTCCGTCTGTACTTCCTAAGAGGTTACGTGCTAAGCCACCTACTCTGTTTACCCAGCTAATGATCTGTATGTAGTAATTAGCAAGGGAAGGCATCATTAAAGGATTTAGCGTGTAAGAGGACTTGATTGGCGTAAGCAAACTTCACGTGTTCGTGGTCTCTATATCGAAGAGTCAGGAGTGCTAATTCTCAAAGTGTGGTGTATTTTTTTTCCTTGATGAGAGAGGCAAAAATAAGACTTCAAAACCAGTTTTTTTTCTTCCAGGCAGAGTCTTTTGGATGCTGCTCCTAAAGAATGGGAAGTGATTAGCAACTTGAACAGGTTTTAACCTAGCTTAAAGAAGTTGAAGTCCTTACAAGTAGTCCTCAGGGTCTCAAACAACAATCTGTTCTATCCCAGCCTATAGCCATCTTTGTTAAAGGCACAAGGACCAAACCCCTGTTGAGAAAATAGGCTGGAGACTCAAACAAAACAAACCCCTTTTAATATGGGTAACCAACCTGGCAAATAGTCCAGAAACAAAAGCAGCAAAACACAATCCAAATGGAGGAAATTGTCCACACGAAACACGATGCAAACAGAAAAGTAGTCACCGGCAATACTAACAGAACATGATCCCATGAAGTACTTTGCAATGGTTGCCTTCAGCAACCAGCACCGCCCACACCTTCCATTTTTATACAGCAGTCCCAAGGCGTTGCCTCTCAGTGCCTTCTCCTCCTCCCCTGGAGTTGTCGTATTGACTGCTGCTGATCTGCTCTCGCTAATTGCCGGAGTCTACGAGCATCAATCATCATGTCCATCAGGTGTGAGTCTTGCAAGTCTGACTCATTCTCCCCACACAGCTGAGCTTCATCAGGAACACGACTGGAGGGCCCCAGGCTCTTCCTCAAACCGTGAGTCTTGTAATTCATCAGAGCCTCCCTCTGACCCTGATGGCCCTTCAAATGCCTCCTCCACCTCCTCCTCAGATTCCCCAGACTCAGCTGTTGGGAACACAGGCTGGCACGGAATCACGACACAATCCGTGTTTTGCCTTAAAAAAAACATAATGGTGTATGAATGGCAGTAATCTTTCCCCGTTGAGCACAATTATTTTTTTTAAAGCCAGATCTGCATCCAGAAAAATACACGTGATATTTACAAATATTCAAAGCTAATGCCTTTTCTTTATTGTCTGAATACTGGAGGTTTTTAAGAAGAGATTGGGACACCGATTTGTCTGAAATGGTATGGGGTTTCCTGTTGGAGGATTAGGGTGGCCCAGAACGATAGCGTTGATGCACGCAGCAAGAGAAACACAAAGGGGTGGATTCAAGGCCGGCAAAAACGAGAAGGATAGTCGAAACGAATCTTAATGTTTATAATAATAATAATAATTAAAAAAATTAAAGTAGCTGCAAAACAGAATCCGGTAAAAGGGGAGAGACCTTGATCTCCCTGTCCTTGATTGTGTGAATTCATGCTGGGAAGTACATGGACGAGACTTTTAGTCATTGCTATGAAAACATTAGAAGTGCTGCTAAGCCTCTCCGATATTAAGAGGCTTCAGAAATGGCTCGCTTTTCTTTCTTTCCCTCTGACAAGTTCTAAGCACTTTGAGGTTGGGGGAGGCCGGTCTGGGGTCAACGTTCCCAAAGGCATCACAAGCAAACTTGGGTTGTTGTTTTTTTGTTTTGTTTTGTCAGCTCCCTGGAACAGTTTCCTTTCCCGAGCGCCTCTGCCTTTATAGGGGGGGGGCGGGCTTTAGCGTTGTGCCGTGCGCCGTACAGAATAAAAACTGACCTTCTTTGGAAGACAGTAACATCAGTTCTGATATGATTGTTTTACATTTGGAAAACACTTAAATCTGCGTCCTGTCTTTTTAAGCACTTAAAGGCAGAATTATTCTGTTGGGATTTTAAAAACAGTGTGGGGGGGAAGTGAGCGGATAAAGCATCTTCAGGGAGCTGACAGTCACTCCCCCCTGCTGCATATCTGGTGGTCTGTCTGTCTGTCTGTCTCTCTCTGTCTCTCTCTCTGTCTGTCTGTCTCTCTCTCTCTCCATTCTGTCTGTCTGTCTGTCTCTCTCTCCATTATATTCTGTCTGTCTGTCTCTCTCTCTTTCTCTCTCTCTCTCTCCATTATATTCTGTCTATCTGTCTGTCTGTCTATCTATCATCATCTCCAGGATCTTTCTTTCTTCCCCCCTCTCTCTCCAGTATATCTATCTATCTATCTATCTATCTATCTATCTATCTATCTATCTATCTATCTATCTATCTATCTATCTATCTATCTATCTATCTATCTATCTATCATCCCCAGTTCATACTTCCTATCTATCTATCTATCTATCTATCTATCTATCTATCTATCTATCTATCTATCTATCTATCTATCTATCTATCATCTCCAGGATCTATCTATCTTTCTTTCTTTCTTTCTTTCTTTCTTTCTTTCTTTCTTTCTTTCTTTCTTTCTTTCTTTCCTTTATCTTTCCTTCTCTTTCTTTTTTTCTCTTTCTCTCTGTATTTCCTTTCTCTTTCCCTTTTCTTTCTTTCTTTCTCAAAAGTATTCACGGTGTAACAAACCCACATTTTCACCTTTTTTATTGATTTGTTGGAATCTTTACTCCTCTTTGATAATCCTGGTGATTTGCCCCTATCATGAAACAAAGATTTTCAAAAGCTGTCCAGGATGAACTTAATTTTTTCCTGTCGCCCATTCAGGTCTCGCTCAAGATCGCCGAGAAGACGGGCACACACCCCCGAAAGGCATCGAGAAGAGAGGAGCGTTCCGACTGCCTATCGTGTGAGCAATAGCCCGGGCATCAGCAGAAGACGCACCCGTTCCAGGTACACAACGCGCTTGCAGAACATTACTCCAGAATGGGAACACTGAGGCTTTCTTGATTTAGCTGGCTTTGTCCAGCTCTTTACGTCACTTTCTCCATTCCTTTTTAGCATACAGAAAGTCCTTGTTTAACAGCCACAGTTGAGGCTGGCAGGCCAGCTATTAAGTGAAATGGCCGCAAACTGAAACCACACCGGTTCTTACAATCTTCAGCTTTCATTTGGTTTACAGACCTGTGAAAGTCGTAGGTGTGAGGATCAGTCAGAAAATAGAATAGAATAGAATAGAATAGAATAGAATAGAATAGAATAGAACTGGAAGGGACCTTGGAGGTCTTCTAGTCCAACCCCCCGCTCAAGCAGGAGAACCTATACCCGTGGTGGCGAACCTATGGCACGTGTGTCACAGGTGGCACTCAGAGCCCTCTCTGTGGGCACGCGCGCTGTCGCCCCAGTCCTAGGCCTTCAGCAAGGTTTTATAAAACCTTTTCGCTTTAGGCCTCTGCCGCCGTGTGCAAAAAAAAAAAAAGGTTCAATCAATCAATTTCAACTTTTTGCTGGGGAAAAAAAAAGATCTCACAAAGTTGTAATTGATTGAAATTTTTAGTCCCACCCAGTCTGCCGTTACTACCGCAGCCATGCCCACCCGGCACCCGACAATACATAAATGAGTTTTGGGTTGCAGTTTGGGCACTCGGTCTCCAAAAGGTTCGCCATCCCTGACCTATACCATCTCAGACAAGTGACTGTCCAGTCTCTTCTTTGAAACCCCCAGTGATGGAGCTAAACAAGGATATGTTTTTAAAAGGAGCCCAGACATTGTTTGGGGATGCTTTCTGCATCAACTTTACTAAAGAGGCTAGAGAAAAAAAAAAAACCTGTGGTCTTCCTTCCCTAGATTTTGTAGATGACTGGGTGCCCCCTTTCCATTACAGATGAGCAATGGAATTAGGTGGCGGCGCTGAGACCCCAATTCCAAAGGGCATAAAACCGAGAGATTTATTTGGATTATGTTTTTTCGGACATCCTTTCAGTAGACACTTCTGGGCACGGGTCCCAATTTATTAATAATTGCGAATATAAGCCGGCAAGAAAGCAAAAAAGAGACAACGCGCGTAGACTTAAGACCCGAGTCCAGGAGAGTGATCTGTAGAAAAGAGCAGGAGTGACGTGGGGCGCCTTTCGGCATCTTTATGGCTCAAATTATTCTCTTGATTTAGGAGGCTTTGGTTACGAGGAATGCAAACAGCCCTGATAGAGAGAAACCTTCCCGAGGATGGCGATGTTTATGGCGCTAAGGCAGTGCCATCCATCTCCATCGCCCGAGGTTTTAAAATACGCTGCGTGGGTTGCCTTGTCCCCGCCTGCTGCCTTTACATCCTATCTTCTCCACGGAGAAATGCCTACCCATTTACACCCATGGCACTATAAGGATGGCGAGATACGTGCCGGAGATCTTAACGCAGTGATGGCGAACCTTTTAGGTGCCCAAACTGCAACCCAAAACCCACTTATATATTGTCGTGTGCCAGGCAGGCGTGGCCCATTGGGTGGCCGTGGTCCATTGGGTGGCCGTGGCTGCGGTGGTAACGGCAGACTGGGTGGGACTAAAAAGTTCAATCAATTCCAACTTTGCGAGATCTTTTTTTTTCCCGTGAGAAGTTGAAATTGACTGATTGATTGGAACTTTTTTTTTTTTTGTACACGGCGGCAGAGGCCTAAAGCGAAAAGGTTTTATAAAACCCAGCTGAAGGCCTAGGACTGGGGCGACGGCGCGCGTGCCCACAGAGAGGGCTCCTTTGCTACTATAGCCCCCATCCAGAAGACAATTTGAGATGGGGCATCGGTTGGTGCTCATCATTCTCCGATGCCCAAAGAGATGGGGCAATGGAACTTGGCTCTTCCGAATTCAAACCATGAGCTCTCCCGTTGAGCTGCGGCCTCAGCCCACAGCTCTGCCGACATCACTTACAGTAGGAAGTTGAAGGACACCAACCCGTTCATGGTGGACCTGGGAAAGCTTTCTCAGACCAGACTATCCTGTTTCCCTGAAAGTAAGCCCTAGCTTGATTTTTTGGAGGCGGGCCTAATATAAGCCCTGCCCAAAAAATAAGCCCTAGTTTTGGGGAGAGGCACACACGTAAAAATCAAGCTGGGATGGGGGGTGGGGAGCCGCCCACATGCCCTGCACCCACTCACCTTGCAGCCAGGCCTCTCCTCGCCGGCCCACTTCTTCTTCTGCGGTGTCTCCTGCAGCCAGACCTGCATTTCTCAGTCAGGCCTGCATTTCTGGAAAGGCCACTGCAGCCGAGAACCGAGCTATGGATTGAATCCATAGCTCGGTACTCGGCTGCAGAGGCCTTCTAGAAATGCAGGCCAGAATGCAGCTGCATTCTGCAGCCATTCGTTTGGCTGCAGAAGAAGTGGAGAAGAAGTGGGACTGCTGGGCAGGGCTGTCAGTGCAGGAGGTGAGTAAAAAAGACACACACACACACACCCTGAAAATAAGACTTGGTGCCTCTTTTGCAGGGGGGGGAAAGGTCCTGGTCTTATTTTGGGGGAAACACAGGTACTAAGAGGCATATTCTTTGCCAGAAGAAAAAAAAAAACCTGGGGATTTGTGTCAGATAAGAAGCATCACCTACTTCCTTCCTCTGAAACACGCTTTTTCCTACTTCTTCAGCAAGCATGTACTCTTCTATCCCTGGTTATATCTCCCGGGTAGAGGCTGGAGATTAAGGAGCAAAGTTTGCAGTTGAGAACAGAATTGGATATTGTTTGGATTGGGAGAAAATGTTCCCAACTACAAGGCTTGGCTGTTATCTCAACAGCTCAGTAGAACGCCAAGTGTTTAGCTTATCCTCTGGTTTCATTTCTGTAAAGAGATAGTACAGTGTTTCTCAACCTTGACCATTTTAAGGCATGTGGACTTCAACTCCCAGAATTCCACAGCCAGCATTGCTGGCTGTGGAATTCTGGGAGTTGAAGTCCACATGCCTTAAAATTGTCAAGGTTGAGAAACACTGAGATAGTAGCTTTCTGTAAAATATAATCGCCATCTTAAATTAACAACAGCAATTTTTAGTTACATTGGCTGGTTGTGCTACCTGGTCAAAGCAACCTCACGCCAGACTGGGCAGAAAGGAAGAAAGCTGTTTATAGTGCAGATGCCCTGTGGCGCATGTTAAGTCTCAGCTACGTATTGGTCAACTTTAAAAAGGTCATCCGTGCAAGAAACAGCACGTTGGTTTCTGTACAACGTGCGTCTTGGATTAAAAGTACAGGGATGGATTAAAAGTACAGGGGGGGTCCTTGGGGACCCCTGAACTTGGTGGTTTTCTTGCGGACGTTTCATCCCCCAGTGTCATGCCTCCGTTGGAGCCTGACTCTGAGGACGACATGGAGTTCCCTGTTAAGGCCCAGGAGGGGGTGTCTGTGGCTTCGGAGGACGGTGGGGAGGAACAGGCTGAAGCAGACCAGGGCCCTTCAAGTTTGGAACAGGGAAGGCAGAGCTCAGGCGAGGAGCCAGGGCCCCCCCGTCAGATCCCAGAGCAAGGAGAGCAGAGAGGAGGAGGGAACAATGGAGGCAGGCTCACTTGCTCGGGAGGAGAGCGTCCTGCCCCACTCCACAAGGCACACCTGGGGAGTAGGTATTTAAGGAGACGCTGTGAGGTGGGGCATTTGCCGGGAAAAAAACGTGAACTCTTGTGATGTGAAAGAGAAGATTAAAACGGGAGGGCAAGCTGTGGTTTTGGGTTTTTTTTTTCTTGGCCTCTGTTGCGATGGCGTGTTTTATTAGACTTAACGGGATTGTGCTGTGTGTTCCTGTTTCCCTTTCAGAAGCCCCCATGAAAAGAAGAAGAGGCGGTCGCACTCCCACACGAAGTCCAAAGCCAGATCCCACTCACCTTCCATCTCGCCGGGAAAGCCATCCGCCCATAAGAATTCCAGTCACTCAGCCAGCATCTCTCCTGTGGAGAGCCGAGGATCCAGCCAAGAGCGTTCTGGGTAATGAGCCCCCGAGAGCCCCCATTCCGGCCGAGCGTATAAATAATCCAAAACAAGAAATTAAATAATGATAAAAGCAGGGGGGGATGCTTGCTGATTCTCTGCCCAAAAAAAATAATAATAATCCAAGCTCGGTTCGCTTTTCTTCTCCAAACCTTTGGGGCGAACGCAGCAAGCAGGCGTTGAGCATGTTAGAATTGTAAATGCTCCAGCATCACACAAAGGTGCACTGCGGTTGTTTAGCTGGTTACCTGTTTGACTGCCCTCCTGCATCGGGTGAAATGCCGAAGAGGAGTTGAAGAGGGTTAAATAGATAGCTCTGCGGATGGACTCGGCTGGCGGAGTTGAAATGCAAGGAAAACATGCTGGTTTTTTCGATGCTCTCCTGCTTAGGAAAGAAAAAAGGAAAACCTGCTTACATCTGGCAGAAAACCAATATTTTTTGTGTGATGCTTCTGCTTGCAGAGGTGGGGAGATAGGGAGGGAGGGAGGGAAAAAGGGATGGATGGATGGAGATTGGAGATAGGCAGACATGTATGGATAGATAGGTAAAGTGGGAGGGTGGGATGGATGGATGGAGATTGGAGATATACATGTATGGATAGATAGGTAAGGAGGATGGATGGATCGATGGATGGATGGAGATAGACTATGGATAGACAGGTAAGATGGATGGATGGATGGATGGAGATTGGAGATAGACATGCATGGATAGACAGGTGAGGTTGGATGGATGGATGGATGAATGGATGGATGGATGGATGGATGGATGGATGGATGGATGGATGGAGATAGACATGTATGGATAGACAGGTAAGATGGAGGGAGGGAGATTGGAGATGGACATGTATGGATAGATAGGTAAGATGGATGGATGGATGGATGGATGGATGGATGGAGATTGGAGATGGACACAATGTATGGATAGATAGGTAGGGTGGATGGGAGGATGGATGGAAGTTGGAGATAGACATGTATGGATAGATAGGTAAGGAGGATGGATCGATGGAGATTGGAAATGGACAGACAGACATGTATGGATTGATAGGTTAAGGTGGGTGGGTGGGTGGATGGAGATTGGAGATAGACATGTATGCAGGAATTCCAATTTGATCGTTTTGTTACCCCTGACTGACAGACATCCAGTCCGATTTTAATTGGAAATTCGACAATTTGGCAAGATTCATTTTCAGGAGCAACAAGGTTCAATCTTCTCCAATTGGATCACAGGTCTCAGTACGGAAGCGTCAGAATACTTACAGCCGCTTCATTGGGGGGGGAGGGGGGCAGAATGAACTAAAAGAGTAAGGATGGTAGATCCTTTAGAGGACATTGACCCTGCAGAGTTTCATCCGAGTCGCATCAACAACTTATTTTGATAAATTATTGAAATATTCCCTTTTTTTTAAAAAAAACAAAAAACTGGAAAGTTACCCAGGTATCCAAAAAAGATTTAGGTTGTTTGGTTAAAGTCCGTGCCAGAAAGAGCAAAAGAAGTTGAAGAAGAGCATCAGAGTAAATCTGAATTTTTCTCTCTGCCTTAGCAACCCTGCCTAAGCACATTCTGTCAGCAGAGGGAGAGGGAAGCCCAGAACAGCTCAAATCTCTCCTGAGCAGAGTTTGTGGAAGCCATCAAACTCCTCCCTGGCTAGTTTTTTCTTCCACTGTCCAAGAATCCATTCAGCATCTCTCCCGCCCCTCCATCTTTGTCCCCAGTTGGAAAGAAAGTTCCAACCAAGTTTAAGACAGGAAAACCGCACGGAGACTGTCGGATCTCTGAGCGGCATTGCAGTCCCTCTGAAGTTATTTGAAAGCCTCGCGTTGGGCTCTTTGACATCTCAAATCAATTTGAAGGTTCGGCGTGAATAGATGATTCTGCTGGCTCTCCGTGGAATCCGATTTCCCCTTTGAAGCTTGGCCCGGCTCGTCTCTCAAGAGCTGCGTTTTTAATTTTATTTTCTTACATTTCCATGAAAACCCCGAAACGGTGGGGGGTTTTTTTCTTCTTCTTCTTCTTCTTTTTCCCCCTTAATTTTGGGAGATGTTCCAGGGACTTGTTTCTCTGCCAAAAAAAAAGAGAGAGAGATGCAGCCTGGTTTTGTCTGAGAAAACTGGTCATCGGCAAATGTTGCAGAAGTAGCTTAATTTTAATTATTAATCCCACGGGAATATTTGTGGAGAAGATGCCAGTTCAGGATGCACCACTGGTGAGAATTTGCAGGGGGAGGGGGTCCAGGCCTTGTGTCAGAGACCAACCTAAAAATTCAAAGTGTTTCCTCTGATTATGGTTTTTTTTTTCCCCCACTGATCTTACAAGATGTCTAAAAGGCAGACTCATCGCATTAATTAATCTCCTGAAAAATGTAGGATGCAAAAAACCTCCTTCCACTCCACCGTTCTTCTGTTTCTCATGTTTAATTGCAGTTGCTCAACTTAACTCGGCTAATTGCCTGTCAATTCATTTTTTTTTCTTCTTTACTTCTCAAATTTTACAGGGGCGTTCCTTTGGAAAAAGAGGGCCAAATCTCTTCCGCGATTGTGTCGTCCGTTCAGAGTAAAATCACTCAGGTACAACCAAACGGGTCTTGGATTTTACAAGGCTTTGCAGTTAACTGCAGTTCTTGCTCGTCTTGTGGGGTGTCAGGTTAAAGTGAAGAAACGAAATGAAATGTAATGGGGAGAAAAGCAAAGTTTTACACTTAGGCAGGAAAAGCCAAAGGTACAAGTACAGATTAGGTGAAACCTGGCTCAAAAACAGCAACTGTGAGAGGGACCTTGGGGTCCTAGTGGACGATCACTTAAACATGAGCCAGCCAAAAAAGCAAATACAATCCTGGGTTGCATAAACAGAGGCATAGAATCAAAATCACGTGAAGCATTAGAACCGCTTTATAAAGCCTTAGTAAGGCCACGCTTGGAATACTGCATCCAGTTTTGGTCACCACAGTACAAAAAAGATGTTGAGACTGGAAAAAGTGCAAAAACTAAAGACTATTAAAGGCCTGGAGACTAAAATACATGAAGAACGGTTGCAGGAATTGGATTTGACTAGTCTAGAGATAAGAAGGACTAGGGGGGACATGATGGCAGTATTCCAGTATTTGAGAGGAAGGGGTCAACTTATTTTTGAAAGCACCAGAGGGCAGGACAAGAAACAGTGGATCAAGGAGAGAAGCAACCTGGAATTAAGGAGAAATTTCTTAATAGTGAGAATAATTAAGGGGTGCCTCCAGAAGTTGTGGATGCTCCATCCGTGGAGGTTTTTAAGAAAAGACTGGATAGTCGCTTGGTGATTAGGAATGAGTGAGTATATCCCCACCCACCCCCAGTCTCAAACCCATCTTTTTCTCCAGTTCTTTTACAGACAGAAACTTTTTTCTGCTCCCAACAATGGGAGACTTTTAATCTCCTTCCTTTTCGGTCCTTGCAATATAAAAAAAAAAGTCTTAGATCCATCATTTATAGCAGTGATGGCGAACCTTTTAAGAGACCCAGTGCCCAAATTGCAACCCAAAACCCACTTATTTATCACCGGGTGCCAGGCGGGCGTGGCCGCGGTGGTCATGGCAGACTGGGTGGGTGGGGCCAGGGCGGCGAGGGCCAATCCCTCGCCATCTCCGGGGCACGGCACATGTGCCCACAGAGAGGGCTCTGAGTGCCGCCTCTGGCACGCGTGCCATAGGTTCGCCACCACTGATCTATAGAGAGTCCCTATCATCCAGTCATAGTTGTCCCAAAGTTGCGTTTTCCAAAAGCAATTAGACTTTCTTGGGTTTTTTTTTCCTTGAAAACGTTTCACTTCACACCAAGAAGCTTCTTCAGTTCTAACTGGATGAAACGCCAAACATTTTTAAAGAAAAAAAAAACCAATAAAGTCCACTTGCCTTTTGGAAAAAGCAACTTTGGGTCTTTTGGATCCGTCTATCTCCCTTCCTTGACTCATTGTGATTGGCATTTTGGTACTTTTATCTAGACAATTCCCAAACCCACAACACCTTGCCTTTTTTTGGAACCATTTTTCTCATTAAAGTTATCAAAGTAATTACTTTAAAAGTAATTATCTTACGCTGTTAAGTACAGCAGTGGGAAAACAAGGACACTGAAAAACTGTGATAAGGTTCATTTACAGATTTGGATATAATAACAATGTGGTGGTGTTTTTTTCCTTGGTTGGTCAAAGAACTAGAAAGTAAAATAGGCATATTTTTTCCTTCAGCACACTAAGAACAGTGCATATAAACCCCCCTCCCTTGTGTTCAGTTTTCCTTCACGCAACCTGGTCAAGAAAACAATAATGTAGGAATAGCCCTGTTCAGGTTCCCTTTCCTTAAAAAAAACCCACATTATCTTGGGTTTATTGCAAATTTAATTTGACTTGCTAGGATTGCCTCTAAATATGCTTTGGAGTTTTCCTTCATACATTAATTTCGAGGCATTGCGATGGATGACTGTTAACAATTTGCACCATTTTTCCTAAGCATGATCACAGCATGGATGTTCCTTTTCCTCTCTGAAAGAAAGTGGATTTTTGACACTCAGATGACTGAAGCCATTGGAAATGTGTTTTTTGTTTTTTTTTTGTCAAAAGAGGCTGCTTACTTTTGAAAGGGCGAGATGAAAAACAGCGGTCAAGCTTCATCAAGGGAGTCTTGACTTCAAACCTTGGGAAATGACCACCCGTTAAAAGATTCTTTTTTCACCACTGAGAAAAAGAAATGCAGAATAGGTTTTTATTTGCTTCCTTGTTTGGAAAACGGGCACGAGAAACTGTGTGTGGAAAGCCTTTTCTGCATTACAAAAATGTTGTAAACATTTTAGTGACAGCCGTGGTTAAAATCTTGGATATCCTCCTGTTAGCTACGTTTTCCAGAGTGGCTGGACAGAAGCCAGCAATTTTACAGCACAGAGACGCCAAGGAAATATTTCCATGCATACTGAAACTGGCCATTTGAATTTTGGGAGCCAGTTTCTTGCTTGCTCTAGTTGCAAAAACCTTCACATAATACGCTTAACCCCATTTCTCTGCAAAATGTAGAGGCGTGGGCAAATCAAGTCTTGTTACGCAATGCTGGTTAACTGCTTTGCACGGTTATTTACAGAATAACAGACTTGGAAGGGACCTTGGAGGTCATTTAGTCCAATCCCCTGCTGAGCAGGGTATGTCTAGTTTAATGAAGAGAAGGACGAGGGGGTACATGATAGCAGTGTTCCAATATCTCAGGGGTTGCCATAAAGAAGAGGGAGTCAAGCTATTCTCCAAG